ACTCAGCGGACTCAGCGCTAAATTATACAGAATGGACCAATATAATTTAGAGCTAATTGATCAAAGCTCGGCATGCTATGAACAATAGATCGACTATGTTACGGGGTAGCCTGTTACAAAAAATTGACACCGAACGGTGTCAATCGAAAAATTGTCTAGCATGACAAGGTTTTACCAAGATTATCCGAGATAGATAATATCGAAGGTATATTATCCGAGATAAAAATATTTATGCGCTGGTCCAAGTTTGGTTGATATTAGACATATCAACCATAGATTGCCACTAATCACTGCTAGACGCGCGCAATGAGTTGTCAGCAGGTTGTCGTCATACGCCGACGTAGCTTAATGTAGTTAGATACAGACTAAAGTTATATTGATGGCTTAACAACACTAAATACAGTTCTCTTTCAACCCCTACTTGACCGAGTCTCTGAAGTAATGTAGCTTCCTCTGCACGTACTAGTGTACGTGAAGTTTCGCGGCACCCCAAACAAAGGGTGCCCCGTTACACCTGGTAGCACTTAGTAGTCCGTTTGACGACTGCTTCGTGTCCGTCCAGCTTGAACATGTTGGACATAGAAGACGACAGCTTTCATGTCACACGTGAAGGCTACTCCCACCTGAGTGTCTCAGAATGGGAGGTAGTCGGCCGCATGAGTGTGCTCATGGGCGAACCCGCCATCAGTGGTATGTTGTAGTCTCTTAGCAGAGACCAGCAACATGCTGCTATCAACAAGTTCCTACAAGGGGAACTTGCCATCGAACGACAGAAGATAGCCTTGCTATAGCAGCAAGGCTCTCATAAGTCGATGGGCGGGCCGACGCACATGCGTCGACCCGAAACCTTGAAGATTGGTATCTCAAGGTACAAGGGAACCGATGGAGATTCCCTTTTGAGATGGTTCGTCGAGCTAGACGACGCCACCAGGGCCCGTCACATCGAGGGTGACGAGACGCAAGTCACCTTCGCCCTGACAAATTTGACGGGACGAGCAAAGACTTAGGCCTTAGGGCTCAAGCTTCACGACCCAAACGTGTTTAAGTCGTTAGAGATCTTGAAGTCTCGGCATAAAGAGACGTTTGAGCCGCCGAGAGCCGAGTTCAGAGCACGCTCTTTGGACGTGATGACCACCGTTGGCCGAGGAATGGTCCAAGGCGCGGGTCCGACCATGTCGCTAAGCTGCGACAGCAAGCCGGACCGTCGAAAAAACGGTCAGGGTCAGTAGGGGCGGAGCACCCTGCTGATCCAGCAACGTCAAGAGAATTTTCTAGACTCTTGACGAATATTGCTCCCAACACACAGTCGCTGTGTGTTACTGCCCTTAGTGATGAGGCGTCTCTCATCACTTTGAAGATCGAAGTGACAATTGGAATGTCACTTCGCGCCCTAGTTGACTGTGGGGCGTCCAACAGTTTTATTCTACGCCAATCATTAGGGGATAGTAGACAAAACTATGTTGAGCGAGGAGTCCCTCCAACGAGGATGACGGCGTGCCTTGCTACAGGCGCATCTGTAACAGTGAACAAACGTGTAGTGGGAATCCACTACACGCTAGAAGAGAAGCAGTACGATGATGACTTTGTCGTATCAGATTTGGATGACAAATTTGATGTCATCCTCGGTCTGCCATGGCTTAGAAAGTACCGGCCATGGATTAGCTGGCAGCATCGATCCGTTAAGATGCCTGCCGTTTGTTTATCGGATGGCCATCTGATGAACGTCTTGGAGCGTCCACAAGCGTGTAGATGTACTACGAGTGAGTGCGATGGCCTCACTTGTGATACGGTCGTTAGTACGATTGCACAAGATCACAGTGTAGAAGGCCACTACACTGTGGAACCAGCTTCCGGCACCTGTGTAGAGACACAGGCTGCGCCGAAGGTTCACCACCCGAAGAGATCGAGTGGACTGGAACACGGATGCACAACAAGAAGAGTGCATCCAAGAAGAGAGAATAGTGTTGTTAAGGATGAAAATCACGATGAAGCGAGATCGAACATCAGAGAGTTGATCGTAGAGCAAGCCCGATCGACTGAAAGAGAGTCGATAGATGAGGACATGACTGTGGTAGTACACCCACAATCAGTACACGTATCGGAAGAAAGCTCTAGCGTTCCTGAGAGTAATAAATTTCAAAATAGTTATGTTGAGGGTGTTCTCCTCCAACCACCTACGCATAATTTTTCCTGGAAATCACCGAGACAGTGAATGTCTTGGTAATTGAAAAATTAAGTGTAGGTGCTTATACACCTAATCGAATCGCATTTTCGAAAAAGGCTTCAGAGGTAATCAAGTTGCCAACGCTAGAATCTAAAATATTCTTGTGAGATCTGCGTAGTGACAAGATCAAGCAGATCTGCGTACTCGTCACCGAGGAAGAGTACGTCACCGATATTCGGTCGGCACAAGTGTTTGCTGAGAACGAACAGGTTCTCAGTAGTTCATCGATGGACGAGAGTGTCCTCGATGAGAAGGCCCGGATTGAGCGATACACGTCTCAATCTAATGAGTCTTTAAAGACAAATCCTTTGTACAAGGATTTGGTTGAATTCAGGGATGTTTTCCCGGAATCTGTGCCAAAAGAGCTGCCCAAAGACAAAGGCACTCGGTATGAGATCGAAACGAAATCTGATTTGAAATACTGTGTCATGAAGCAGTGGCCACTGCCTCGTGAACAGGTCACAGCGATCGACAAATTCTTTGCCGATCGTTTAGCGGCTGATCATGTGAGGGAATCAACATCCCCACACAGCTCTCCGACCTTCTGTGTGCGAAAGGCCACAGGAGGGTGGCGGATAGTGCACGCGCTCAACAAGATGAAGGCTTCAAAAATACCGGCTCAAACGCCGATCCCATGAAAGGATGACATCATAGATGCTATGGCAAAAAGTACCATATTTTCGTCCATGGATCTTATGGATGGATTCTATCAGATCCTCATGCGTGAACGGGATATCCCGTAGACAGCAGGGAGTACCCCCAGTGGTATGCTCTGGGAGTGGCTAGTGATGCCACAGGGGCTAAGTAACGCCCCCGCACCGTTTAACAGATGTGTTACGCATCTGTTGTGATCGGTGCGCGATTTTGCACCGATTTACTTGTACGATGTCTTCGTCCATAGCCGGGCTATGGATGGAAAGAGGGATGTGGAGGTTCATAGAATCTATGTCCGGAAGGTTCTTACACTTATGCGAGAGCAAAAGTTGTTCGCGAACCTCAAGAAGTGTATATTCGTAGCTAATGAAATACCACTTCTGGGATGCTCGTGGGTTAAAACGGTGTACGCCCTGATCCGGAAAAGATCAAGGCGATTAGCGACTGGTCTGTGGCAGTCGACGTCAAGAGACTTCCAACGCTCCTTGGCTCGGCGGCGTACTTGCACGAATACTCGCGCAACTATGCCGAGATGACCATACATCTCTCTCGTCTACTAAAGAAAAACGAGAGGTGGTCATGGAGCGCTGAGTGTCAGCACTTTTTTGACGGCATCAAGAAAAGCTTGGTGCAATCGCCTGTGTTGGCGATTGCAGACCAGGATAGACCATTTCATGTGGTCTGTGACTCAGCGATTTTGCAATCGGCTGCGCGTTAATGCAGTACGACTCAGCTGTTATTAAGCGCGTCGTCTGTTATCAATCGAGTCAACTGCAAGCAGCTGAGCAACATTATCTGTTGCATGAAAAGGAACTCCTTGCCATGAAATATGCACTGGCAAAGTTTCGGGTATATCTCTTAGGAGATAGGCCATTCATCGTTTATACCGACCATGCGTCAGTACAAGCGGCCGTAAACAGTCCACACCTCTTGCAACGAATGGCGAGGTGGCTGTCTTTCTTCGCGGAGTACAACTCCTCCGTCAAGTATAAACCAGGACGGCTCAATGTCGTCGCTGATGCTCGTTCGCGTCAGCCCGATTTCGAGCCGTCTGCTCAACCCAACAGCAGGGGTGATCCTACTGTAGCGACACTAACAGTGAGTGTTCCGTCGTCGAATCCGCTCGATGGCGTAAGAAAGCGTACACAAAAGATGAGTCTCTTCAGCGGTTGATGGATTACGTATCCAATCCGTGTAATCGAGCTTTGAAAAGCTTGTCGTCTCAATACCGCTCTTCAACCGAACGTTGTTCTGTCCGCGATGGACTGCTGTACTATACAGCAGTCAACGGCGACAAACTCGTGTCGTCGTTCCGGCTCATAATGATTTGCGATTACGCATCATGTATGAGTGTCACGATGCCCCAACAAGTGGACATCGCGGTAGAGAAAAGACGTACCCCATGGTGAGTCGTGACTTCTACTGGCCCCGCCAGTGTGAGTTTGTGCGGAAATATATTGGCGCTTGCGAAGTTTGTCAACGGGTGAAGCCTAGTCCTTCATCCCGCGCACCCTTACAGCTTCTTTTGATTACGGCAGAGTGTTGGCCGTCCGTATCGATGGACTTCGTCTTCGGGGTTGCCGAAGACGTTCACAAGAATACAGGTATTCTTGTGTTTGTTGATCAGTTCAGCAAGATGGTACATCTTGTTGAAGCACCGGAGTCAATCACAGCCCAGTGCTGTACTCGTGTCTTTTTTGCTACTACCCTCAGACTTCACGGGTTACCCCGTGAACTCGTGTCTGTTAGGGACCTTCGCTTCACAGCGGAGTTCTGAAAATCCGTGTTATGTTCACTTAGAACACGTTTGAAGATGTCGACATCTGACCATCCCGAAACTGATGGTCAAACGGAACGCGTCAACCGCGTTCTCGAAGAGATACTTCGAGGGTATGTCCACTCGTTTACGAGCTGGGGTGAGTTCTTGCCGATGGCGGAATTCGCCATGAACAACTCGGTGCATGCGTAGACAACGCATACACCGTTCTTCGTGAATGGCCTACGCCATCTACGTTTACCCGCCTTTTTAAACCGTGACTCTAGTTCAAGGGACGGGTGGACTCGCTCGAACAAAAACCGATCTGGTTCTAGCTCATCACCCGTCGGCAATGATGTCGACGTGATGGATGCCGGTGTCGATGCGATCGATATCGATGATGATGATGACGATGATGCTGGTATATTCAGCATCGCCAACGACTGCCACAGTGATGAAGATGATGCCCTCACTGGTGAATACAACGTTCTTTCAGCAGTGCACACAAAGCGCTCTGCTGTTGACAAGGATGAATCAGCAGAGGAATTTCCGCTGACTCGCGAAGCGGTTGTCCGCTTCGTTCAAGACTCAATTGTAGATGCACTGGACAGACAGAAAAGAAATGCAGACAAACATGGAAGAGCAAATACTCTTTCATTTGATGAAGGGAACCTAGCTTTACTGTCTACAGTAAACCTACCGAAACACGCAGTGACAAACGTGGGCAGCAGTAAATTACTGCCCAAGTACATTGGTCCATTATGCGTGTTGCGCCGAATGGGCAACGCATATACGATCGAACTGCCTCTCAAGATGCGTACGCATCCTTCGTTTTACGTTGGTCGTCTCCGCCAGAACTATCAGTGCGAGCCCATTACAAGATGCGAAGAACACCTCCGCGGTCGAGAGCCGATACCACCTTCGAGCAGTCCCGTTTCAACGAGCCAGTCTGGTCAACTAGCGAAGTGAACTGTTCGCGCAGTTGAGCGATGTCTCGACGAGCTACAGCCAGCTCGCGACGAATAGAACGAGTCGAACGTTCGTTCTCAAGTTGCGCGAGCGCAAAGCGGCACGATCGTCCGAACGATCGTGCGTTAGGAAATAATAATTATCCCTCACAAGATCCTCAAGCCCATAACGCCGAGATCGTTCATGAGCCAGGTCATCTTGCAACTGTTCCGTTAGACGGTCCAGCTCTTGAACATCAAGCTGATCCGACCCTCAAGCCGGATCAGGTGTTCCCGCCGCCACCACATCCTTTGGTGGACTCAAGCGGAGGTCAACGCTTCCTAGTGAAGCCTATTTTGAATCAACGCAATGTGAATGGCGTCCGGACGAGTTACCGCGTCCGCTGGCGTGGCTATCTACCGGCGTGGGACAGCTGGGAGCCTCGTTCCCAGCTGAATGTTGTTGTCCTTGGTCTCGTCGAGCTGTACGATGAGACTCACCTGCTCCGTTTGAATAAGGGCCGTCGTAAAACGACCTCCCCGAACGCGAGTACAAAGGGTTGCAAAGCGTCGGTCTCTTCGGCCATCTCGTAAGAGATGCGCGCTCTCTAGTAGGGATCATTAGGGAGGTAGGCCTCCCTAGGGGCACGGTTCGACTTTTCCAGGCAACCTGGGCACCAATCACCCTACGAGTTACAGGGTAATCTTGCCTCTGTTGAAAGCCGGTGCAACTTGTATGGCGCCCCGACGGGGTTGCGCTTCTCAAATCTGATGCGAGATGCATTAAGTTTGGCGAGCCAAGCCTCAGGGCCACTATACACGATGTTATGGATAAGGTCATTCCATCCTTGCACCAAGGCTTTGCCGTCTCGAACACGTCTGCCATTGTATCACCAATGTTTCAAAATGCATCGTTGAAGAATCTTTCCTCAGCACGGATAGTTTCCGCGCTGGAATCAGGTGGGCAGATATTCCTGCAATCGAACAACGGGATTTGATCCCGTTCAGTAGATTTGCCGGCCAACCGGTCCAACTCTCTGGATGGCGGCATCCACGGAGACTCCACTTGAGGAGCGTGGCGCAAGGCATATCGGTCCCTGGCCTCTTGATTGGTGCCAGCGTGGCGCTGACACCAGTGATATCCCGATCCCTCGAGTTACTCCGCTCGTGGTGATGTATATGTGCATCACCACCATCTACACGCGTCCAACGTTGGATGGACTTGCGTGAGGCGGAGATTTGTCGGAATAATCACTCGATCCGAAGATCTCGGACATGATACCGCCACGTTGACCAGAGCCAGTCAACCTGGCTCTTGCAGTGTCCGCCCCGGGTGATTGGAGGCGTAATGTATCGCCTTCAAGTCGGATACATCATCCGGACCGCCAGAATAGATGAGCTCTTTATCAGACTCATTTTAATTACGACTCGTGGTACCCGCTGCAGGCGCAGCGGATGTACCGGTCGCACGTGGTGACTCACCACGTGGACTGTATACAGCAGCAGGTGACGAATCACCTGTTGCTGAGGTGTGAGAGGCACTTTCCGCGGCCGCACGCGTGCGTGCAGCCGCCCTTCTTGCTGCTGCAGTAGCAGATCGTGTTGTTTTCGAAACCATGCGTTGGATTGGCAAATGAATGGGATTTGACTATCAAGTGCTCCCTTTCCCATAGTGATCCAGCGGTGGTCACCCTGTCCCAGTCAATTCTAATTCAATCGACGGGCGATTGACGGCTAAGGGGGTGATTTAATGGGGTAGCCCGTTACATGAAATTGACACCAAACGGTGTCAACAGAGACATTGTCAAGAATGACAGTATTTTACCAATATTATCCGAGATTGATAATATCGAAGGAATATTATCCGAGATAGATACTATTCATTTGTGGTCCAAGTTTGGTTGATATTAGACATATCGATCATAGATTGCCACCAATCGCTGCTGGACGCGCGCAATGAGTGGTGAGCAGGTTGTCGTCATACGACGACGTAGCTTAATGTAGTTAAATACAGACATACTAAAGTTATATTGATGGCTTGACAACACTAAATACAGTTCTCTTTTAACCCCTACTTGACCGAGTCTCTGAAGTAATGTAGCTTCCTCTGCACGTACTAGTGTACGTGAAGTTTCGCGGCACCCCAAACAAAGGGTGCCCCTTTACAATTTGGACTATGGATTATAACTCCACAAACTCAAGACGGTGAACTCTATCGACACTGATCATGTCGATCTCATTGGTCCCTACGAAGACAAACACTTCGATATCACTATGATTGACCACGCGACGCGTTGGCTGGAATAATGTATTCAGAACGACAAAACTTCGCTGACCACAAGTTGAAAGCATCGATCGTGAATGTCAGTGCCGCTACCCGCGGCCTATAAAGGTTAGACACGACCTAGGAACAAAATTTACCGGTGAAATTTTTCAAAAAAAATGCTTCGCAGCTTTGGGACACAAGCCAAGCCGATAACGAGCAAAAACCCTCAAGCTAACGCAATTTTGAACTCGGTAAGGTGCGAGCCAGCTATCACAACATTCTCATCGTTATCCCAGGTCAACTACTTTTCGGTCAAATATGATCACTTGTCAGCTTTACAATGCCAACTGTGTAACGGGGCACCCTGAAGCTTGTACTGGTGACAGTATAAGCTACTTATTCTGATAACAGAATAAGGCGGTGCCTCGTAACTTCACGTACACTCGTACGTGCAGAGGAAGACGGTAAGAAGAAGCGAGTACTTGGTTAGAGTAAAAAGTAGAACTGTATTTATAATAGTTAATGTCTGCAATAAATCACTATTTATCTTCATCTAACTATGTCTAAATACAAATGTGTAAATCAGTTATCTGCTCACCACTCATTGCGTGCGTCTGTCGTGGCGCGTCTTCGTTGGTTGATATAATGGCCTATATCAACCAATTAGGAACTACTTGGAAGTGCTACAGAATATTGTCCTTATGACAATATTCTGAGAATATAACTCTTATAGTTATATTCTATTAACAATTTCTTATAAATTGTTATGTAACGATTCACCCCGTTACATCACCCCCCTTAACCATCAGTCACTTTAGTGACTGATTGACTAAATGGATACTCGTCCCAAATCATTTGGGACGGGGTTTGCACTTGTTGGTCCGCGTCCACTTTCCAACATCTCATCGCATGGTAAACAAGCCCATGCGATGCGCGAGCAAGGCCGCCGAGAGCGCGTCTGCACGTCTCTGTGCGGACGCCGAAGCAGAAACTACAGCAACTGATATCCCATCGGTTGCTGAATCGACTCAGCCTGTATCACCTGGTGATGCAGGCGCTGGTCATGAAGACACTCGTGTCTTCACAGAGTACGAGCTCGGTGTCTCGTACTCTCCTGATACGGATGACGGATCCGTATCGACGGCAATTGAATCCAAGCCGCCTGCCAAGCGTGGCATGGACGATGCTTTGCGTCGCAGCATCTTTGGTTCATCTGATGAGTCAGATGAACCATCGCCGAAGCGAAGGCGCTCGAGGTCGCGAGACTCGGGCGCTAATAGTGGTGTCGTTTCTCCAATGGACACCACTTCACAGCGAGGTGCCAGTCCTTCTGTCGGCACGTCGCAGGAAGAGCGGGACCGCAATGTGTTGCGTCTCGCTCCAGAAAAGAAGGCATGGATGCCTCCTAAATCTGTCATGGATCACTTGTCGGCGACGACGAGTGATCGTTATCGAACACAATTGTTCGATTCGTCAAGGATTCATCACCTTGACCCCAGCGCGAAAGACTATCGCGCTGAACATGAGTTCTTCATCGATGCTTTCTTCAGACATCGATGGTACAGTGGGAATCACAAACGTGATGGTCCCTCACTACTTCAGGCGTGGAACGCCTACATCCATAATCTCGAGGATGTAGGTCGTGACGCTTGGAACGACAAACTTATCAAAGCTCGTGATAAGTTTGAAAAAGCGAACCCCGACAGGTGCACGCTACAAGCTGCATCGTCTGTCAAGGGAGAAGGGATTACCCTGCCTCTCTTGGGGAGACTCGTGCCCATGTTGTGTGAACAACTCTGCACGAGCACCTAAGGAGGCTTACCTCCTTACCAGCCCGTGGTGGCGCGTACGTGTCTCTACTGAGATGTACGAAAGGATTGACAACCTGAAATCCCTTTACGACCGTGCCGGGAAGACTTTCTCCGGCGGTCCTTCTGCGGCACAGGATGTGTCGCGTCGTACTGCTCGACCAGACCCAGTACGTCAACCATCAATTGGGAGCGGGGCTCCCAAGAATCCCAGGACGGACGGGGGATAGCCGCGCCACCGGACCGACTTTGCGATCCTCTGTGAAATTGAGCCGCTTTGGAATTTCATGTGTATACTTAGTATGTAGCAAACAGAAGCTGAGGTCACGACGATCAATCTTTACATAAAGATACTGCGTCGCTCGTCCGTGATCTTAAATACCATACTGTTTATTAAGCATTCTAGAAGATTATCCTTCTACTCTTAAGATTTTGCTGGGCGCCAGTACGTCGTCGAAGTAGTCCAGCGTCAGACAGACGTCTTCATTCCTTTACGTACTTGTGAGTACGGCTTCGTTTGTCCAGTCATAGAATCCTGCTCCTGTAGAAAGAGATCTAATTCCGTATTTATCTCTCGCCCGTCTTGACGCAATCCCTACAGCGCTTTCATCACTATGCTTGCTTTGCTACTATCATTACGTGACTTTGAATGCGATTTAGCTACTGTGAAATACTTTATTCCGCAACGAAATAAGCTGTACTTACGTCACAACTGTGTGTTACCAGATTTAACATCGCCGACAGTGCTACAAGCAAGCGAAAAGCCGCCATATGAGCTAATGGTACAAATGTGTCTACAAATTTAATACCTGCGTGTTGTCTGTGACCGCGTGCAACAAGCCGAGCCTTATACCGAATCACTCCTCATTGCTCGTTTACTTTCCCGCGTAGACTCACATGGTCGTCAACAAGATTGTAAAAGGTGGAACCTCAGCTGGATTTATTTTA